TTTCTTGGTTTGTGTTTTGTGAGGCAGGGTCTCACTGTATAACCCAGACTAGCCTCAAACGTAGGATTCTCTGATCCACCCGTTTCATCCGAGTGCTGAGATTATAGGCATATACCACCATGCCTGGCAGAGGTACCCTTGCTTCCGAGAGGGAATACCAGGAGCTAATGCCACCAAAAAGACTATCAGAATTGACTGGATATGGTTCCATAACAACAAAAGTTGTACTGGGGACTCGTAAAGGATTTCAAGACTCCTTTCCTTCTCTTCAGGCCCATAGAAATGACTTCCTAGACATGGAAGTCATCTTATTTGGTGTGCTTCCCTATTCTCTGCAGAGAATTTCCCCAAAAGGCATAAAGGTAGTCCATTGCCTCCTACAGGGTGAACTTGTAGAGAGATTGGGTGGGAAAGTGAAGCCGGGAGATCTGAGTGGGTCCAGGAACAAACTGGTGTAAGTCAAAGGAAGATAGTGGGTATTCTCTCCAAACGGCTCAAGAGGTAATGGATAGAAAGGCAGTAGGAAGGAAGAAGAACTGGGCATGATGATTGCTGGCGTGTAATCCCAGCACTTAAGCGGTTAAGGCGGGATTGCAAATTCTAGGCCAGTCTGGACTACATGGAGACTCCCTATATAGGCTCAAACAAACAAGTCAACTCCAGAATGGTAGCTGGAGATATGTAGATGAAATGTAAAGAAATCTTGACTACCTATCATGGGATAACCACTGCCCAAACATGGGAAAATATGAAATCTCATAGGCAGAGCCTACACCACTGCTCACCAAGGCAAGAAGCACCCAGAGGCTCTCTGCAATCTCTTGCACTTCCTGGGGAAGACCAAAGAGGCTTAAACAATGGCCATAAGCCTCAGGGGTTTTCCAACACCTCTACCGAGACCAGCCCAGCATTGGGTGTGTCCGAGCTACTGACATCACACACCCTCCCATCCCTAGACAGGTGAGGAGGCAGAAGAGGGGAGAGAGATTGAAAAACCACAAACTCCAATGGGATGAAATGATTTCTAAACTTTTTATTTCAAATCTCTTTTCACCCCTCCCCAAAAAGACATGGGTCGGTACAGCAATCATAAAAAGGAGATACAAACACAAGAGTCAAAGGTCTCCCGCACTGACACTTACAAAAACCTGGGAATTGTACATGGGATTTCCAAACAGGACCTGCAGCAGCTACTAATGTCCCTTTACAAGAGTCAAACATGCCTATTAATACAGTATATACAGACACCCCATTCTGGACCTAGTCTACAGGGACATCCCAATGCCCACCCCTCTATACCCAGAAAAATACCAAAACACACCCAAAGTGCATTTGTTTTGTTTATATCAAAACATCTTTCCCTCTCCCTAGCCCTCCCTCAGGCCCTCCCCCCCCCATTTAAGATTGGCCTGCAAGTCTATTTTAACCATTTAGTCATTTTTTATAGTTTATGAAAATAAATTATACAGCAACTATTTTAATAAATTAAGCACAAAAGGGGAGAGGGAAAGGACAACTAAATGGGAAGACAAAAGCCAGGCCACGCTTTGGCTTGGAGGGCAGGGGTGGCTAATTGGGACAGGGTGGTTGCAGGGAGTGTGGCTCCCCTTCTAGAGAACTGGCAACCACATGAAGCCAGAATGACACCCTTCATCATGAACTTCCTTAAAAACAACCAAAATGTACAGCAGTGGCTGTGCCATGGCAGCACCGCTTTGGGCGTCCCAACAACTGGCCTGCCCGCAGGGTGGTGCCCGGATCCTGCCTGTCCTATGAAGCACCAGGGATGGAGTGGTCAGACCAGCCTGCCACTCCATCGGAGCTGGTTAGGGAGCTGCGGACACAGCCGAGTGTGGCTGTGTACAGGTACATGATTAGCCCGGATGGGTTCTAATGAATAGTGTCCTGTTTTCTTTATGTTTTGTCTCCAGGAGCAACTACAATCGCAGTCCAGCTGCGACCTGATATAGGTGTCTTCTCGCCATGGTTGGCTGCTTTTGCCGGCCCCTTTATGCCTCCTGGCATGGAGGAGTAGGAGAGGGGAAGGGAGCACTTCTAGGAACCCTCTAAAACCTGCTGAATGAAATGGGAGTGAAGGCATGTCACAAACTCAGCATGCAGGGCTGGCTTCCTGGGAGGTAGATGAGAGTGGGAAGGAATGGGAAAAGGTGCAGAGAGGGCAGGAAAGGAGACAGGAAGAACTAGGTGATCCCCCCTACCCCAATACACCCCATGCCCCAAAAAGCAATGAAAAGGACAAAGATGACATGAAATCTGCTGTAAGAAAGGTCTCTTCCTCTGGCAGATTAGAGAATCCATATTGTAAATGCAACTCATTCCTCTGTTTCTGAACTGCAGTACCTGAGTCCCCAGTGCCTGTCTCTGTGATTCAACCCATCTCATTTCTCTAAAAACGTTTCCATTTGCTCGAGGCCTCCTGTCATTCTGTGCTGAGCATGAGGGCTCCAATGTCAAAACAGGATACATACTGGGACTTGTGGACTTCTGTGGCCCCATAATCCTACAGCTATCATAGTATAATAGGGCATATTTTTTTCTTTTTCTTTTTTCTTTTTTTTTTTTTAATAAAAAAGGTTTTACTCCCCAGGAGCAAATAAATCATTTTGAACTACTGATAAACACTGCTGCAGTGAAAAAGAAAGATGGCTACATGTATGCAATAGCACAAATTCAGTGTAAAGACAGCTGTGTTGACGACTAGAGATAAAACCCACTTATCCATCTCTCCCTTTCCCACAAACCAAACCAAGAGGATTCCCATAGGGAAAATGTCTAACTCAAAAGCTCTTCCCCTACACATGGGGGCCATGTCATTCTCTTTAAGTGGAAAACAAATTCCAGTCCCCCACCAGTGGAGATGCTCTCAATACTCCAACTAGACACAAGACTTCTGCAAATGAAGACACATATACTCATTCACTCACCACACACAGACTTGCAGACCTTTCCAGTAGTCAGAGCTACAGCCTAGTGCCTGGTCCTCTAACCTCTGGGCTCAAAATGAAGGGAGAGACAGCAGAGAGGAGAAAAATCTCACTTTGGGGGAGAAACCTCCTCCTATCCCCAGTTCCTTCTGGATGGGGACTTCAAGCAGACTGTGCTCTGCTGGGAGCCCAGTAGAAAAGGTTGGCTCTATTCCAGTCTCACATGCCTGGACCTGGGAGTTCTGACCATCTCCACTCCTCAATCCTTCCAGATGAATCCTGGAGAGGATATGCTATCTCCATATCATTTCCAACCACACAATCAGCCCAAATGAAAAGAAGGAAAGAAAGAAGAATCCAAGAAGCTCCCTGTCATCTTTCTTCTCAGGAGGTTGATACTGCCATCCATGTTCTCTTTTATCATGGCATAGGTAGGAGACCAGGCCAAGGTTGTCGTAAATGATCCCCAAATTATTTCAAGGACCAGCTGTCACTCATTTATCTAGTTCCCCACACCAAAGCCCCCACCCTGTTACTCCTGTGCTCTAAATATAATACAAGCATTTCAAGTAACAGCAGGTTGCAGCAGTAGTTGACACTGGCTCACATTGGTGCATACCAAGCTGAGCAATACAGTACATCAGTCATAAACAAGTAAAGGACCTGAGAGTACTGACACTCCCCACCCACAACAGAGAAACCAACAATGGGTCTCTAAAGTAAGAGCCTTTCCCAGTTCATGACTTTTAGCATAGAAGTAGAGAGGAATGAGTACACTGCACACTGCATTTCCACTGGCATGCTCAGCCCTGGACAAGTGCTAACCACCAGCCCTGCTCCTACTTTCCTCTGCCCTACTGACTCTAGCCAACCTGCACTTTAGTCAACAGTCTCAGTCCCCTTCTCTCCACTGCTTATCTAACTTGTTCTACACAAGGCCACGCCCACCTGCACCAAACACTCATACCTGATGGAGATTGTGATGCCCTTTGCAGTGTATTCAACTAAGGAAGGGTCAGGCCAATCTAAGCTGTGAGAAAAGCAGATAAACCACATATATGTAAACAGTCTTCCCCAGGAACTGGTGGGGGGAGAGACAGGCAGTTGGGACATGCCTCTGCAAGCCAGTTTGGTTTTGTTCCTGAGTGTATGAATTCTCTACTGCAAACCCCAGTATCACAAAGGTACTCACTGTTGACTACCATCATCTCCTTCAGAGTTTGAGCAGATAAAGGTCAATAGTGAGGGGCTGGGCCATTGATAGTCACTTGGCTGATTTCTGGCTTTGGCCTCCACCTACCAGATTCTTTTAACTTTTAGACCTGCCTCATGCCTGAGAAGCTTCCGTCTGGACCACTGCACTGATCGGATTTTGTAATGATGGTGCTCTGAAAGAACGGTATACTGCTCAGCACACACCATGCAGATTTCTGCTTCATTGCTTTTGTTCATGTATTTCTCTTCTTATGCTTCCCCTGCCTACAACCCAAAGCCTCACTGCTGCAGCGCTCTCCCAGACCATCTGGTCTTCCCTGATCTCACCCACTCTAAATGTCTTTAAAGACAGGCCTTGATTCTCTGCTACAATGAGTCATTCTCCAATTACATCATGAGCAGCAGTGACTTGAAAGTTCCCTCAGTCCAGGGAACATGTTTACTAACTAGCCCACAGCCATGAAAACACACTAAAAAAATAATTTTTAAATTATGAGTAGCTAAAATGGGGGGTGGGTGGGATGAAATTACAGGTAGTCTGCATATTAGTCACTCAAAGACCTCATTGGGTTTCATACCTCAGGCTCTATGGTAGGGTAACACTTTCTGCAAAATGGCAAACAACTTACACTCACCAGAGGCAAGACTCACAGGTTAAGCCAATCTTTGGATCACAATCTGTGTGTGTGTGTTGGTACTGGGGCTTGAACTCAGGGCCTCCTGCTCTTTGCTTGGCTTTTTTGTTCAAAGCTGATGCTCTACCACTTGTGAGTCATACCTCTACTTCTAGCTTTTTGCTGGTTAACTGGAGATAAGAGTCTCATGAACTTTCCTGCCAAGGCTGGCTTGTAACTGTGATTTTCAGAGCTCAGCCACTTGAGTAGCTAGGATTACAGCCAAGAGCCATCGACACCTGGCTGGATCACAATTTTATAAAACTGGTATTGAAACCAAAGAAAGGAGAGGTACCGTAGGATATTGTGGCTGGGTTTATGCTGCAAAACACATCTTGTGGGTCATCTCTTTATAGTAATAATGCATATTTCCTCTCTGTTCAGCTACAAGGAAGAAAACTGATCTTTCCAGGCAGGGCTTCCAGATGAGGCAGTCCTATAAAACAACCAAGACACAGGGACCTTGCCCCCAAACTGACAGCATTATTTGTCTCCTGATGAGGCAGACACAGCATAGACATCCAAAAGACAGTCACATAGAACACAATGTAGAAGAGTAATAAAGACCCAACAGCTCAGCGGTCACATTTTAACAGCAAACCTTTCCCATAGAGAGTAACTATGAGAAAGCAAACTCACAATATTGTATGACTGGCAATGGCTGGCTGCAGGCATAATTAAAGATCACTGAAAAACACTGAGTTTTTATCCTCCCTTTTTCATGTCCAGTTGTGAAACAAGCCATCTGACAGAACTTCCCACTGAAAGGAGGGCAGCAGGATCTGACTCAGGAAATGTCTTGGTTGCTAGGATGAACATAAAAATAAAGAAGCCATTGCTATCTCTAGAACAACAGATAAACCCAAAAACCCGAGGTGATGCTCTTCCTCTGCACTAAGGAAATCTCATTAAGGCTGAGACGCTGGGCTTCCTCTAGGAAGAGCACAATACTGTTTCTCACCTTCTTCTACATTCCCTTTCACTAACAGATAGATGGAGGCAACAAGGACGCCTAAACCATGGCCCCTGTTTGTCATGAAGTTACCGGAAGCATGTTCCATTAACCTCAGCATCCCAGATTGGAGCTCTGTACTGCTCAGGTGATGGAGCAGCCTCACCAGCTGGTAGAAGCAATAGCAGTGGAGGCAACAGGATGTAACCAGACTGAAGTGAAATGGACAGTTATCTCAGGGGAAAAGGGCTATGGGTAAAAGGAAAATGGTGGTAACTTCAGGTCACAGAGCTTAAAGAATGAAGTAAAACAGAATGAAGACATATACTGAAATCAAGTTTCCAACCCTTAAAAGGGAGGCTGTGAGGAGTCACTATGTCCTCTAGCGAAGTATCTGCCAGTCTAACAATCTTCCTGCCGAGCACCACCCTCCTTTCTCCCATTCCTACTGACTCTTGGCACTGAGGAGCTGATTCTCCTTCCTGCAGAAACTTCCAGTCCCACTTTGCCCTTCTCTGACGCCTTGCCCTTCCTCAAGATCCACGGTGAGGACTCATATTTTTTGTTACTAGCTGAACTAGACTCCTCTACTCCCAACCCTTTGGACCTGATCTTCCTTTATACTACTTTCAGTCCAATGGGCACAAAGCTTAGCTGCCTTCAAAGTGAGTTTTCCATTCTGAGAAATGGAAATATCAAAAACAAAACTTATTGAAAAAAAAAAAACAAAAATAAAAACAGTGTTGAGACTTCCAGTTTTTCAAGGAGCTTATCTAGTTCTGGGGTACCATGGGGTATGCAAAATGCTGGAGCCCCACTCAGAGTATGGCTGTGTGCTTCTTCCAAGCCCCAGGGCTACAGGGGAAACAAAGTCTGCACAGAGACTCCCAATTCTTCATATTCTCTCTTGTTTTTCCTCGTTCTTCTTTACATTTGGCTCTTCAAACTGGAGCTTGGCAATCAGATGCCTAGGTAAAACACAGAAGGAAGAAGTTAGGATGGTTTGGTTCAACAGTATACAACCAAAATGGAGTGACAGAACAAACTAGCTGCTGGAGGTTGGAGAAGTGAAGCTGAAAAGGAGAATAGAGCTTAGACAGCCAGATGCTTGTGCAAACATCACAGCTGGCTGGGGATATGGAGATGACTTCTGTGTCAAGCATATTATTGAGTGCCAAAATGAGGTTCTGAAATAAATGAGGAAATATATCCTATAACATTACTCATATTCTCTATTCTCTTACCTTTTAGTTTACTACCACCCACTTTCCCTTACTTTTTCCTCTGACCCACTTGGTCTAGAGGCTAAAAAGAAAACTAAGACAGGAAGTGGTATATTTTTCAAAAACAGTTATTTTTCAGATAAGGTCTCTTATTTTTGCCCAGAGCTATTCTCAGACCCCAGTCTTCCAACTTATGTCTCTTGTATAGCTGGAATCATAGCTGTGAACACCACCACCTAGCTTGTTAGTTGAGATGAAGTTCTCACTAACTTTTTGCCTAAACACATTCCACATTTTCTTGCTGTATTATTTTTTTTTCCCGGTTATGGTGCTTGAACTTTGGGCTTGGGCGCTGTCCCTTTGCTCTTCAGCTCAAGGCGAGCACTCTACCGCTTGAGCTACAGTGCCACTTCCAGTTTTCTAGTGGTTTATTGGAGATAAGAGTCTTACGGACTTTCCTGCATGGGCTGGCTTTGAACTGTGATCCTCAGATCTCAGGCTCTTGTGTAGCTAGGATTACAGACGTGAGCCACCAGGGCCCAGCTCCTTTTTTTTTTTGGTCAGTTGTGGGGCTTGAATTCAGGACTTGGGTGCTGTCCCTGGGCTTTTGTGTTCAAGGCTAGTGTGCTAACACTTTGAGCTACAGCACTATTCCCAGTTTTCTGGTGGTTAATTGGAGACAAAAGTCTCATGGACCTTCTTACCTGGGCTGGCTCTGAACCATGATTCCCAGATCTCAGCTTCTTAAGTAGCTAGAATTATGAGCATGAGCCACCGGCACCTGGCTATTTGGCACATTTTAAAGTATTTCCTGCCCCCACCCCCCTCCTTTTCTTTAGTGGTAATGGAACTTGAACTCAGGGATTTGCATTTGCTGGGCAAGTGTTGATCCCTTGAACCATGACCCCAGCCTTCTTTCATTCTTTCCTCCTTGCCTCCTCTCCTCTCTCCTTCTCTCTTTTTCTTTGTGCTGGGCCTGGGGCTTGTACTCAGGGACCAGATAGGTGCTATCTCTGAGTATTTTTGTTCAAAGCTAGTGCTCTACCATTTGAGCCACAGCTCTACTTCTAGCTTTTCTTCTTCTTTTTCCCCTACTTATAGATAAGAGTCTCACAGACTTTCCTGCCTAGGCTGGCTTCAAACCACAATCCTCAGATCTCAGTCTCCTGAGTAGCTAGGATTACAGGCATGATCCACTGGCACTTGGCTTTATGTTTTTTGGGTATTTGTATTTTTTTTGTCAGTTGTGGGGTTTCAACTAAGGCCTGGATGCTGTCCCTGAGCCTCTTTGTGTTCAAGGCTAGTGCTCCACCACTTGAGTAACAGTGCTACTTCTGGGTTTGAAGTGGCTAATTGGAGATAAGAGTCTCATGGGCTGGCGTCGAACCATGATCCTCAGATCTCAGCTTCCTAAGTAGCTAGGATTACAAGCACCCAGCTCTTTTTTTTTTTTTTTTTTGGGTCCGGTTGTGGGGCCTGAACTCTGGGTGCTGTCCCTCAGCTCTTCAGCTCAAGGCTAGCGCTCTACCACTAGAGCCACAGCGCCACTTCCGGCTTTTTTCTTTTTGCTCATGTGGTGCTGAGGAATTGAACCCAGGGCCTCATGCATGCAAGGCAAGCGCTCTACCATTGAGCCACCTTCCCAGCCCCCCAGCTCTTTTTTTAAAGTCTATATATAATTCAGTCTGGGAGCAGGGAATGTAGCTTAGTAGTAGTGTGTTATCTAGCATGCATGAAGCCCTGGGTTTGATTCCTCAGTACCACATAAACAGAAAAAGCCAGAAGTAGTGCTGTGGCTCAAGTGGTAGAGTGCTAGCCTTGAGCAAGAGAAGCTCAGGGACAGTGTCCAGGTCTCAAGATCAAGTCCCAGGACTGGCAAAAAAAAAAAATCTAGTCTGGCTTTGAATCAGTAATCCTCCTGTTTCAGTGCTAAGATAATAGTCATACACCATGCCCAGCCTAAGCATTTCTTGTCTGACTTTCTTCTAAACAGAGTACATACTCCTTGGTGAGTCCAGATGCCTGGATTGGGGGTACACATGGGGAATTGTGGGGAGGCATGATGCTCAACACAAGATGAAAACTGCCCAGTACATAGGCTGGGCAGGAAAGCAAAGAGTCCTTACCCTTGGTGGTGACCAACAGGAGGCCCTCGCTACGTGGAGGGCTCTACCTCTTGCTTCTGTTTGGAAATGAGCTGCGCTTCCTTTAGAGACAGGTATACCTCTTCCTGAGGATCATAGTAGTAGAACTTTCGGATATAAGATATCAGAGGTCTGTGAAAAATAGAGACACATATAAAGGATAAAATTATAAGACATACTCTTTTTTTTTTTTTTTGAGTCATGGGACTTGAATTCTGGGCCTGGGCACTTCAGCTCCCTGAGCTCTTCCACTCAAGGCTAGAGCTTTACCATTTAAGCCACAGTGCTACTCCTGGTTTTCTGGTGGTTAATTGGAACTAAGAGTCTTATGGACTTTCCTGCCCAGGCCGGCTTGGATCCGCAATCCTCTAATCTCACCTCCCAAGTAGCTAGGATTACAGGCATGTACCATCGGTGCTCAGGCAAAATATACTCCTTTTTTTTGTTTTGTTTTGTTTTGTCGGTCGTGGGGCTTGAATTCTGGGTTTGGGCGCTGTCCCTGTGCTCTTCAGCTCAAGGCAAGTGCTCTACTGCTTGAGCCACAGCACCATTTCCGATTTTCTAGTGGTTTATTGGAGATAAGTCTCACGGACTTTCCTGCCCGGGCTGGCTTTAAACTGTGATCCTCAGATCTCAGCCTCCTGAGTAGCTAGGATTACAGGCGTGAGCCACCAGCGCCCGGCTACTCCTTTGTTTAGCTCTTCTTTCTTCTTCATTCCTCTACGACTAACATAATACCAAGGACTTTCTGTCAACCTAACAAAATTCCTGCCTTCTCCTTCATTACAGTTTTGTCTCTCTCTCTCTTAACACTCCTACTCTGCTCTCCATGGGGCCCACAAAAAGGGCTGACAAACTCTCTTTCTCCATTTTCAGCTTCAGTGTGACAGCTCTAGTTAAGACACACGAAAAATGAAAGTATACTGCCTGTGAATACTTTAGGCCAGCCTCTGCCTGTGTGAGCAGCTTGCAGGACTCATTGCTATTTATAATCCACCCCAATTTCTTCCCCAATCTAAACAACCCCATTGTACTTAGGCAGTGGGAGATCCGGGATGTGATCTATTCGGACGAGCTGTCGGATCCGGAATCTGCAAAGGTGCTGCAGGGATTTGACATTGCTGAATCGGGACACTGGATAGAGCAGCTGAACTGGAGTTGGCGGCAGTCCTTCAAGAATGAAAACAAAGAATATTCAGAGGGAACGATGAAGCGAACTACAACTTCCTTATGAATAGAGTCCAGGGAGAGGTAATAGGGCTTCTTTATATATACATTCTGCATAAGTCTTTCTACAAAGGGCTCATTTTCCACTTGCAAAATAACTACTACAACATTTCACACTCAAGGAACTTGTTCTCCTCTACTGATGGCTTCCTCAGTATCAATTAGAACCCAGGACCTAATGCATGCCAGGCAGATGCTCTACCACCTTAGCAATGGACCAACCCAACATCATCATTCTTAGCTAAGAATCTTGCTCCTCAGAAGAGCCCAGTGTGAAACGCCTAGCTAGAGGGTTTGCTTGGGGCCAACTGGCCAATCCCAGGCTTGAAGCTTTCAGGGAAAGGCAAGAATTAAAAATCTCCCCTGTTGGGGACTTAAGAAACAAAGAACTCCCGCTCATCTGGTTGAACCACTACTAAATATCCCCACGCTGCTGATCACAAATATGGTATATAACAAGTGAACACTGTTATATATTACAGACTGTGATAGACAATTTGCTCCAGGAAAGTTAGAATGAACTAGTGACTTAGAAATTATGTAATCACTTAATCACAATAAAAAAAAAAAGAACCTCGGGGAAGGGAGGGAGGGAGGGGATGATAGGGGGAAAACAATGGAGGGGGTAACAATGTTCAAGAGGAAGTGTACTCATTACCTCACTCATGTAACTGTAACCCTCTGTATAGTATCTTTACAATAAAAAAAAAAAAAATCTCCCTGTTGGGTCTGAAGAGGATGAAGGTAAAGGAGAGGAGGTGGGCAAATGGTGAGTAAACACAGTCATAACAATACTCAATGTATATATGTGAAACTTGAGAGAATGGGTGAGGCTGGGTTAGATGCAGGGAGACAGGGAAGGGGTGACGTTGATCAAGATGCTTATACAGGGTTAAGAGATTTATCTCAGTAGAAGAGTACTTGCCTAGCAAGTACTGAATTTAGTTCTCAGAATCAGGGGTAAAAGAAAAGAATCTAGGAGTAATTCTAGTTTGCAAACATTCAGAAGTGAATTTCACATAATTGCCGTATAGGCAACTATAGCCATGCAGCCGGAGCAAGGAGGGGAACACAATGTATGGCACAATTCTGTGTCCCTAAGAAAGGACAAAACACTTCTCGGGAAGGCACCAGAGATTGATCACAAATCTCTAAGATGGGTCCTGGCTCCTTTCACAAATATCCATGAAATTACTTCTTCTGAGTATATCTTTTATCTTAGCAGCAATTTTGTGTGTGCTCTTATATGGAATCATATAATGAAAGACAGTTTTTGCCCTGGAATACTGGGCAGTCAGATATAGAAGATGAAATAGGAGCAAACGCTACCTAGAGTCCTAGGTAGTCCTATCTTGTTCTTCTATACCTTAGAAACCACTGAGAAAAAAGTAACGTGTCTGGTGTTTACTCTTTATTTTTCTTTGGTCGTGGGGCTTGATCTCAAGTCTTGGGCATTGACCTTGAGTTCCTTTTGCTCAAGGATAGTGTTCTAACACTTTGAGCTACAGCTCCACTTCCAACTTTCTGGTGGTTAATTAGAGATAACGAGTCTCACAGACTTCTGCCAAGGCTAGCTTTGAACCATGATCCTTACTCAGCCTCTTGAGTAGCTAGGATTACAGGTGTGAGCCACCAGCACTTGTCTTAGTGTTTACTCTTTGTTTTTTGCTTTTTGGGTCTGGTCGTGGGGCCTGAACTCTGGGCCTGGGTGCTGTCCCTCAGCTCTTCAGCTCAAGGCTAGAACTCTACCACTTGAGCCACAGCGCCACTTCTGGCTTTTTTCTTTTTGCTTATGTAGTGCTGAGGAATCGAACCCAGGGCCCTCATGCATGCAAGGCAAGTGCTCTACCACTGAGCCACCTTCCCAGCCCTTGTTTACTCTTTTGTCAGAATTATCTTAAAACTTTTACATAAATTAGTTTCTGCATTTTTTAAAACAACCCAACAAAATCACATACTATTGTCACCTTCATTTTGCTGATGAGGAAACTGAGGCAGACTAATATAACTAGTAGGAATAGGGATGGCACTCAGGTGTTTTGACTCCAGAACTGACAATTCATACATTTTCTCCTTGGCAGTGCTGGCTTTGAACTCAGGGACTTGTACTTGAGGGCTAGTGCTCTATCACTTGAGCCCTAGAAACTACAGTGTGTGTGTGTGTGTGTATGTGTAGCTCAAATATAGAGTTCTTCTGCTCAAGGCTAGTGCTCTACCACTTTGAGCCACAGCATCACTTCCAGTATTCTGGCGGTTAATTGGAGATGAGAGTCTCACAAACTTTTTTGACCCTGCTGACTTATAATCATGACCCTCAGATTTCAGTCTCTTGAGTAGTTAGGATTACAGGTGTAAGCCACCAGCACCTGGCTAGAAATACTTTTCAGCTCTACAACATATATTATTGGTTCCCAGCTGGGAATGATTTTGGCATCTGAGAATATCTGAAGGAATAATTCTGACTATCACAACCTGGGGAAGAATGCTACTCTACTCAATAGAAGTCAATGATGCTGCTAAATGTCCTCCAGTCCTCTAGCACAGGATAGCTCTCTGTAACAAAACTGTTCAGCCTAAAATGTCATGGTACCAAGGGCCGCAAGTTGAGAAACCCCAGTACCTAAAATAGGGAAGGCATGTCATAGAGTAATTATAAGCTTAATGATGGTTACAAAAGATGAAGTTATTTTCTCAAAGAGTTGTCCAACCAGGCACTGGCAGCTCATGCCTGTAATTCTGGCTACTCAGGAGGGTGAGATTGAGGTTTGAAGCTCCCACTTGGCCAAAAAAGTCTGTAAATTTGTTATCTCCAATTAACTACCAAAAAGCCAGAAATGGAGTTATGGCTCAAATGATAAAGCATTAGACTTGAGTGAAAAAGCTCAGTGCCCAGGCCCTGAGTACAAGTCTCAATACCAGCAAAAAAAAAAAAAAAAATCCAATTTAAAGTGTGATTTTTTGGTGGTGGGGGGGAGGGGTGTCAGTCATGGGGCTTGAACTCAGGCTTGGGCACTGTCCCTGAGCTCTTTTGCTCAAGGATAGTGCTCTACCACTTTGAGCCACAGCACTACTTCCAGTTTTCTGGTAGTTAGCTGGAAATAATAGTCTTTCAGACTTCCCTGCCCAGGCTAGCTTTAAACCATGATCCTATCAGATCTCAGCCTGCTGAGTAGCTAGGATTACAGGTATGAGCCACCAGAGCCCAGCTTGCAAAGAAATATCTTACCTATGACACTCAACATAGGTCCTAAAAGAAGCACTATACTAATAAACATATTCTACCTTCTTCATGTAGTTTCCACAAGTGCCAACAAGTTCAAATTTTTTAATATGATTACTGCTATCTTTTTCTGTAATAAAGTAATGATCAAGAATCTGACCAAGGGCTGGAAATGTGCTTAGTGGTAGAGTGCTTGCCTAGCATGCATAAAGCCCTGGGTTTGATTCCTCAGTATCACATAAACAGAAAAAGCTGGAAGTGGCACTGCAGCTCAAGTGGTAGAATGCTAGCCTTGAACAAAAGCAGCTCAGGAATAGTGCCCAGCCCTTGAGTTCAAGCTCTAGGATTGGCAAAAAAAAAAGTATCTGACCAACTTTTTAGCACAACAGTTACTTAATAAACAGTAGTCTTTTTTGGGGGGGGGGTCTGGTTGTGGGGCCTAAACTCTGGGCCTGGGGCGCTGTCCCTCAGCTCTTCAGCTCAAGGCTAGTGCTTTACCACTTGAGCCACATACAGCGCCACTTCTGGCTTTTTTCTTTTTGCTTATGTGGTGCTGAAGAATTGAACCCAGGGTCTCATGCATATAAGGCAAGCGCTCTACCACTAAGCCACCTTCCCAGCCCTAGTCTTTTTATAATATAAGAACGTTAGTTAAAATTTCTGTAGACAGAAAGAATACATTTGGGAAATAAAATGAATTGTAGTTGAGGAGTCCAAGGTTCTAGTCTCTTAATACTTAAAGCAGAGATGCTACAGAGTCCTGATTCCTCTCTGAGTTACACAGAATACTCACAAGCAGCTGATTACCATGCCCCTGTCAATCACCACCATGGTTGGTACTATATATGGCTCTTGCCTTTGTTTTCCTACTCTTCCCCTCTTTGTAGCTACCAGCTGTTTGAGGGTAGTGATATGGCTTAATTTTTATACTACATTACAAAATAAAGGTGTTATTAAATACCCCCCAAATCCACAAGCTTCATGAACTGCTAAGCAGTCATTTCCTATGAGGAAGAATTCTAACTTTCCCTTCAACCAAGTTAATGGCATGAGATCCAACCGTGTTGACAGTACTAAGGCAAATACTAAATGAAGTGAGAATTAATACAGTTCACATCCTGTCATGCCTTATTTGAATCACCCGAGATATAAAACATTCATATCACCTGGTTCAATCATGTTTCTGATGTTCTGCCTGAGGTTCCCCAGCAACTCCTTTTTAGAGCAACTTCTTGACATACTGTTTATTAATCTTAATTTAACTTAATAAAAAAGTATAAAGTTTTTGTTTGTTTTTGTCAGTCATGGGGCTTACACTTGGGGCCTGGGTGCTGTCCCTCAGCCCTTCAGCTCAAGGTGAGTACTCATGGACTTTCTGCCTGAGCTGGCTTTGAACCTCGATCCTCAGATCTCAGCCTCCTGAGTAGCTAGGATCACAGGCATAAACAACCAGTGCCTGACTCTCTCTCTTTTTTGTGCCAGTCCTGGGGCTTAAACTCAGGGCCTGGGTGCTATCCCTGAGCTTTTTTTGCTCGACTGGTGCTCTACCACAGCTCCACTTCTCATTTTTCAGAGATTAATCAGAGATAAGAATCTCACAGGGGCTGGGAAGGTGGCTCAATGGTAGAGTGCTTGCCTCCCATGCATGAGGCCCTAGGTTGGATTCCTCAGCAACACATAAGCAGAAAAAGCTGAAAGTGGTGCTGTGGATCAAGTGGTAGAGCACTAGCCTCGAGCTGAAGAGCTGAGGGACAGTGCTCAGGCCCAGAGTTCAGACCCCACAACAGACACACAAAAAAAAGTCTCACAGACTTTCTTTCCCAGGATGGCTTCAAACTGTAATCCTCAGATCTTAGCCTCCTGAGTAGCTAGGATTACAGGCATGAGCCACTGATGCCTGGCCTAAAATTCTCATTTTAAGTTACTGGTTTCCTACAAATATCTAGTGCTTGTCAGTTTTCTTTTCTCAGGGCTAGAAAAGCAGATTCTGGGAATGGGAAGGTGGTTCAGTGGTAGAGTGCTTGCCTCACATACATGAGGCTATGGGTTGGATTCCTCAGCACCACATAAACAGAAAAAGCTGGAAGTGGTGCTGTGGCTCTAGTGGTAGGGCCCCAGCCTTGAGCTGAAGAGCTGAGGGACAGCACCCAGGCCCAGAGTTCAGGCCGCACGACCGACAAACAAAACAAAAAACTAATAGAGATGGCAAGTTTAGCACAATATGGGCAACCCTACAACAGATACCTCCTAACAGAGAATGAATCTGGCCTCCTAGACATTTACTCACCATTGCCTTTTGGGTGAACACCTCACACACCTTTCTGCTTCTTAGAAAATGACCTGAGATGTTTTGGGGGTTTTGTTGTTGTTGGTGGTGGTGTTTTTGCCTTTTTTGTTTTTGATGTTTTTCCTTTTGGGAGGGTAACAGGGGTCACAGAAAGGATGAACAAAAGCAATCATGAGGACTGGGAAGTGGCTCAGTGGCAAAGTGCTTGCCTTGTATGCATGAGGCCCTGGGTTTGATTCCTCAGTACCACATAAGCAGAAAAGGCTGAAAGTGGCATTGTGGCTCAAGTAGTAGAACACTAGCCTTGAGCTGAAGAGCTGAGGGACAGCGCCTAGGCCAAGAGTTCAGGCCCATGACTGAACCCCCCCAAAAAGCAATCATGCTATTCAGTATATACAAAGTGAAAAATGACCTATGTAACTTGTGGGCAGAGACAGGAGGGGGAAATTGAGGGAAAATAAAGGAAGAGATAACATTATCCAAAAAAAAGAAATGTACTCATAACTTATGAAATGATAGGCACTTGTATGACACATCAATAGTTAACATTTTTGGGGCGGGAGGTCCAGTCTTGGGGCCTGAACTCTGGGCCTGGGCGCTGTCCCTCAGCTCTTCAGCTCAAGGCTAGCACTCTACCACTTGAGCCACAGCGCCACTTTCAGCTTTTTTCTTTGTTGCTTATGTGGTGCTGAGGAATCAAACCCAGGGCCTCAGGCATACAAGGCAAGCACTCTACCACTGAACCATCTTCCCAGCCCCTAATTTTTTTTTTTTTAAAGAAAATGAACTGAGAACACTCTCTTGCATGCAGTGTTGAGATGCCTGGATCATCAAGAAGACATTGTAGAATTTTAAATGTTTACATGATGCCTGGACATCAGGTGGGAGCTGTTTTCTCAAATTTATTAGAAGCTAAGTATGTTGCAGGATTAACATACAAAGGCAGGAGATTAGCCACTGCACTTTAGAAAGAATGCTTTTTAATTTTTTTGGGGGGGGGGGTCCAGTCGTGGGGCCTGAACTCTGGGCCTGGCCACTGTCCCTCAGCTCTTCAGCTCAAGGCTAGCGCTCTACCACTTGAGCCACAGCACCACTTCCAGCTTTTCTTTTTGCTTATGTGGTGCTGAGGAATCGAACCCAGGGCCTCATGCATGCAAGGCAAGCGCACTACCACTGAGCCACCTTCCCAGCCCTAATTTTTTTTGTCAGTTATAGGGCTTGAACTCTGGGCCTGGGCACTGTCCCTCAGCTCTTCAGCTCAAGGCGAGCGCTCTACCACTTGAGCCACAGGGCCACTTCTGGTTTTCTGGTGGTTTCTTGGAGATAGGAGTCTCACGGTCTTTCCTGCCCCGGCTGGTTTTAAACCACGATCCTCAGATCTCAGCCTCCTGAGTAGCTAGGATTATAGGCGTGAGCCACCAGCACCTGGTTTTTACATTTTTTTTTAATTTTTATTTTTTATTGTGATTAAGTGATTACATACATTTCACAAATGTCATAATCTTGTGAGATAGTGATACTTGAAGTCACAAACACATTCTAAACTTCATGGGGCAAATTGTCTTTATTGTGGGGAAGAATGCTTTCTTAACCACTAGGGAAAAAAAGCTTAAGTGTGGCCTTTGGAAGCAGGGAGAATTTTGATACTATACTGGATCATACCAAGTTTACAGATAGCCTTACCTGGAACCCTGGATCTCAAGAAATAGAGAAATTTCCCATTTTTAGAGTGCATGATGGCTCTCTTAATGAACTCAACCACAGACTGACAGCGATCTTCAAACTTGGGATGGCACCATAAGCTGAAGGTTCCTGAAATGTAAAGTTAAGAAGTAAAACTTTTAATATGCACATGGTAGCTCATGCCTATAATCTGGCTACTTGGGAGGCTGAGATTGGGAGAATCCAGGTTTAAGGGCAGCCCAGGCAAACATTTCAAGAGATTCCATTTCAAAAGAAGAAGCTGCGGCTCAGAAGGTGGCTCAGTGGTAGAGCGCTTGTCTTGCATACATGAGGCCTGGGTTCGATTCCCTAGCACCACATAAACAAAAAGAAAAAAAAGCTGGAAGTGGCGCTGTGGCTCAAGTGGTAGAGTGCTAGCCTTGAGCTGAAGAGCTGAGGGACAGCGCCCAGGCCCAGAGTTCAGGCCCCATGACCGGACCCAAAAAAAAAAAAAATCAAAAGAAGAAGCTGGGTCTAGTGGCATAAGTCTGTCTTGCGAGCTACAGGAAAAAGTATAAAATAGGAGGACTGAAGTCCAGGCCTGAGCAAAAAGCAAAAAGCAAAACATATCTCAATGTGAAGGTTGGAGATAACGCTCAGTGGTGAAGCACTTGACTAGGAAGTACAAAGCCCTGAGTCCCTAAGTTCAAACAATAGTACCACCACAAAGAGTTTTCTTTTTTTTTTTTTTGTCAGTCATGGATCTTGATCTCTGGGCCTGGGTGCTGTCCTTGAGTTCTTCAGCTCAAAGTGAGTAACTCTACCACCTGAGCCACAGTGCCACTTCGGGTTTTCTGGAGGTAAATAGGAGATAAGAGTCTCATAGACATTCCCGCCCAGGTTGGCTTTGAACCAGGATTCTCAGCTCTCAGCCTGAGTAGCTAGGATTACAGGTATAAGCCACCAGCACTCGGCAAGAATTTTTTTATTTTATTTTATTTTTTTTGTCAGTTGTGGGCCTGAACTCTGGGCCTGGGCACTGTCCCTCAGCTCTTCAGCTCAAGGTTAATCCTCTACTACTTGAGCCACAGCGCCACTTCCGGCTTTTTCTGTTTATGTGGTGCTGAAGAATCGAACCCAGGGCCTCATGCATGCAAGGCAAGCACTCTACGACTGAGCCACCTTCCCAGCCCTTGGCAAGAATTTTTTTAAAACATACTTTTTTTATGGAGGTACTGGGGATTGACCTCAAAGCCTCATATATATTAAGAACTCTATCACTTAAGCTAAATCCCCAGACATTTTAATCAATCAATAATTAATCAATATTTTGAGACAGTCTCCCTTACCTTTGCCTGGGCTGGTTTCAAACTTAAAATCATCCTGTTTCCACCTGTAGAGGAGCTGCTATTTATGGACATGTGCCATCACACCTTGCTACAAACTTTAGAATGATGAGAAGTGCTGGCTGTGGTGACACACATCTATAATCCCAGCACTTGGGAAGTTAAGGTAGGGCGATTGAGCGTTTAAGGCCAACCTTGGCAACACAATGAGTTCTAGGCCAGCTTAGGCTATATGGAGAGAGAATCCGGCACCTCATCCTCCATGGGGGTATAACTTCTAGAATTCTATGTTCCAACATGTGACTACATTGCTATCTTAGGCTCAAGTCTAAAATCCTAGCAATGCAGGAGGCTGAAATCTGAGAATTAAGGTTTGAAGCCAGGAGACAAATCTGAGACTCTTCAATTAATCATTAAAAAGCTAGAACTAGCCAGGCACCAGTGGCTCATGCCTGTAATCCTAGCTACTCAGGAAGCTAGATCTTAGGATCATGGTTCAAAGTCAGCCTAGGCAGGAAAGTCTGTGAGACTCTTTTTTTTTTTTTTGTCGGCCATGGGGCTTGAACTCTGGGCCTGGGTGCTGTCCCTCAGCCTCTTCAGCTCAAGGCGAGCCCTCTACCACTTGAGCTACAGCGCCACTTCCGGTTTT